GAGCAGACATTTATTTCTAGATACAATATTCTTATGACTCCAATAGTAATATGTCCTAATAATATAGTAACTGTGAACCATCAAATGCACTTGGAGATGATCTGAGTTTTTGAGGCATATTATTATGACATTTATTTCTAGAAGTCCAAATATACTAAAGTTTAACTTGTAAAGACCAAAGTTAAATATGAAGTTGTGCTCTCTGTATATATATTAATTTGTGAACAATTTGAAACAAATCATTGTTTATATGCAGTTACCAAACAGAAAAAGATTTAGTGACATTTTCCAAGACCAACACTGTTATGAGAGTGTGTATAACTGTTATAAGTCTCCAGTTTTTTCTGCTACACATTACTAATGCTTCTCATGCACTTCTCTCACATGTTCTGTCATCCCTATACACCGAATTGAAATGTGGCAACCAATTTGAATAACTAGTAATATTCTGCACAGTAACTTAAGCCTCTCATACACATAAAAACGCTTTTACGTTTCCACAATTACATGAGGCTAGTCAGTCCAGAACAATAGTTATCCAAATTGGTTTCCATTCGACATATGTGTTTTGTTTTTGGAATATTCTGTACCCCAAGCGCATGCACAAATTTTCTATTTTTTTCAATATAGGTTAAGTACATTTTCGACTTAAGAACATGTCAGTCACTCCCTTGAATAATATTTCTTTCTTCACCAGAAATGCTTGAGAAATAGCGGATGGCCCTGCAGCGCTCACTCGTAAAAATTATTACCTCAACACCTGAAGATTAGAACTGTATCTCCAACCAGCCATGTAATATTTTGTATAGATATTGTTATTTAATTATCAAGGAAATGCAATTGTAGTGGATTTTTACTATTTAGCATGATTTCTAAGAATTCTTCCAATGGTATTCATATGCAAACGTTTACCATGTAATATCTTCACATGTCAAAATATCACTTTTTATTAATGAAGAAAAATAGATATTTCATCAATAATGTATGTATATCATGGATAATACGAAACAATGTTAAGGGAATGGATGTCCTTGTTTTCTAGAGTAAAATGATATTACCTGCATTTGACCAAAGCTTGAAGTGTAACACATGCCACTAATATTCCATAAGCCCACTAAAAGACAAAATTATAATGTTAATAGTCATCATAAACATCATCATCACCACCATCATCATCACTATCATCATCACCATAATCACCAGCACCTTTATCTTCACCATCATCATCATCACCACCATCATCATCATCATCATCATCACCATCATCATTGCCATCATCATCATCATCATCAACACCATCACCATCATTATTGCCATCATCATCATCATCACCATTGCCGTCACCATCATCATCATCATCAACTGTCACCACCATCATCACCACCATCATCACCACCATCATCATAACCATCATAATGGGTTAAATTTCTAGAAAACAATGTATTGTTGAATGACTACCTGAAATAAGAGTGGATTTTTGATGGTCATGTAAACCTGGAGAAATAAATGCACAAAAAGTTCATTAGTTATTTGGTAAAAAAAATCCATTAAATTTTCATTGGACCCTGCCCATGACTGACCTTATTTGATAGAAAGGGCATAACTCACACACAAGTAACAGCAATTTAGGTTTTAATGGAATTATGCGAAACAAACTCTAACCACAATGTTTTGTTAAGTCCAGGAATAGAATGATTGCATTATGGCATCAATTTACTAGCACTACCAGAATCCCTTGAACACTTTCTTTTGTTCAGTTATTTAGCAGCAACTTTTTACTCCTTTCGTAACGGAATCACAAATTTAATAAGAAAGAAAATTTGCAAAGCATATTGGTAAAATGATGCCATCATGCAAATGGCCTTTTGAACCGTCATGAGACCCCAGAGCTGCTATATAAAGACCCATGAATCTTAATACAAACTAAATTGTCATATTTAAGTGTCATGGAGCATGCATTTTTCTTTTGAAATAATTACGTATGAAATTGAAAGTAATGATTATGATATTAACATACCACAGAAATGAGCAGACTGATAAACATAAGAAAAACAACAAGTGCCTTGTGGTTTTTTCCAGAGGTCGAAGCGCACTCAATTCTAGAATTCAAAAACATGACTCATTAAGTATAGTATACAAACAAAGTAAGAAAAGCAACAAGCAGTATCTTAAATTACCAATAAACCCACTCAGTATGACTCACATAAGAAGGCTAGAGGGGACTAGTATAACTTACATGCAGAAGAGGAAAACACAGCTGCAGTAGATCATTGGTAGTTCATCAAGCAGCTTCAAAGACAAAAGATAAGAACACTAATAAGAATCCAAAACCTTAGTAAAATTTTATCATATACACAGGCTAATATTAGGTTATAAAGGCTTGAACACATGATGTCATGAACATTGTTTGCACCCGAGATTTTATGGGTTGTTGCTGGAGGTAAGGAATTTCCTTGTGTCATATAGCATGAAATTTGTACCAGCATTGTTAAAAAGGTAGAACTTGTATGTAGATCCATTTGCTTGCAGCAGTTGCATACAAAACGTATACACAAGGTATGTTTTCCTAATGTTGCAAGCAATGCCATAAAGTAACATTATGTGTCTGGGCCTTTAGTAGTTAAATGTGCTTGAAAATTTCATACCTGCATTTCAAAGAGTAATGTTGCATGAAAACAAAGTGATCCAATTCCAACCACTAGTCAGAGAGTAAAAAAATCACATCTTATGCTTGATTTACTTCTCTTTCTTTGATATTAGTGCAAAATGGGATGTTCAACTTGATAATATTTAAACAATATTAAATTATTGGTGCCGCATTGCCTTACAAAATTGTATGTTGAGGGGAGAAGGGGGTTAGGAATTGAAGGTCAGGTTATTATTATAATAAAAGGATAGTATAGGGTGTCACAATATTTTTTAAAGGGAAGAAGGATTGGTAAGAATGCACTCATCTGAAATGGGAAGCTAGATTGAAAGCCTTTGTTGTTGATTGCAAATCTTCATGCCAAAATGGCTTGAAATCTGTCCATAAAACCCTATTGATACCCTCACAAAACTAGCCTCGCATCCGACCCTTTAAACAAAAGGAAGATTTTTGAGTTACTTACTAAATAGGGAAAGAAAAGCTATCATGAATCGCAATTCATTTCTTGTCTGCCAGGTCAACAGTAGCCCTAATGCTGGTGGTACTATCATCATCCAGTTACTAATTGTATTCCCTGAAGATAATAAACAGCACAAGATATTTTCATTATTGTCT